CTTGGGATGGCAGCAGGGGAGCTTCCTTCCGGGTGCTGGGACCGGCTGAGCTTCACTGCCCTAGGAGCCTGGCATGGAGGTGGGGGAGCTTCCTTAAGAATCTCATTGAAAATTTTAGCATCCATTTTCATAAAGGATATTGGTCTATAATTTTCTTTTTTATTGTTGTTGATTCTTTATCTCATCAGAGGAATTACTTTCTATTTCATGGAAAACTTTGAGGCGCATTAGTGCTAATTTTTCTTTAAAACACTAGTAAAATTCAGCAGTAAATCCAATTAAAGTCAGACTTTTCTAAGTTGGGAGAGTTTTTAATCACTGTTTTAATATTTATTGCTTATTATTGACTTGTTTGGATGTTTATATAATATTGGTTTAATTTTAGTAGGTCATTATTCCCTAGGAAATTATCTATTTCTTCTAGATTCTCTAGTTTATGGAAATGTAGGTATTCAAAAATGGTTTTTTTATAATCCTCCAGACTTCAGTGGTATTTGCTGTCATTTCCCCTTTTTCATATCTACTTTTATTAATTTGGATCTTTGCATTCTTTGGTAAATTTGCCTAATGCTTTATCGATCCTGTTAATGTTTCCGAAGAACCAACTCTTTGATTCACTGATTCTTTGTGTTACTTTTCAGTCTCAATTTCATTAACTTCTTTGCTAATCTTTATTATTTCTTTCATTCTACTGGTTTTGTGTTTGTGCTCACTCTTCATGGACTTGAGATGCATGATTAGGCCATTTCTTTAGAAGTACTCTGTTTTTCTAATGTAGGCATTCATAGCTATAAACCTTCCTGCTAAACCTGTTTTCATTGTATCTCAAAGTCTAGTATATTACACTTCCATTATCGTTTGATTCTAGGAATTTTTAACTTTCTATCCTGATTTCTTTAATGATCCACTGATTCTTCAAAATTTATTCAATCTGTATGTTATTTGTGTTCTATGGCCTATTTTGTTGATTTCTAGTTTCATTTCATTATGACTTGAGAAGGTACATGAAATTATTTCATTTTTTTTGTGCTTGTGAAGACTTGTTTTATGGTCTAAAGTATGGCTTTCGTGGGGGTTGGAAGGGGGACAGGGACAGGATCTCCCTATGTAGTTAAGCCTGGCCTTGAACTTACTGTGTAGCCCAGGCTGGCCTCAAACTCACAGTGATTCTCCTGCCTCTGCCTCCAGAGTTTTGAGATTACAGGCATGCACCACCATCTGTGGCTGGCTTAATCTTGAAGAAAGTTCCTCAGGCTGCTGAAAAAAATGTCTACTGTACCATTGTGGATGGAACACTCTGTATCTGGTAAGTCCATTTGGTCTACAGTATAATTTAACCCTGAATTTTATTATTGATTTTTCTGTTTAGTTGATGTATCTATTTGTGGGAGTAGGGCATTAAAATTCCCCACTATGTCTGTATTAAGATCCGATATTCCTTTTATGTCAAGTAACATTTGTCTTATGAAATTGAGTACACCAGCACTCTGTGCATATGTTCACAAGTTTTATGTCTTCTTGGTAAATTTGTCCCTCTACCATTATGTAGTGACTTTTTCTAACTAATTTTAGTTGAAGTCTACTTTGTCAGATATAAGATTAGCTTCCTGGCTTGCTTTCTGACTCTGTATTCTTGAATTATCATTTTCTACCTGTTCACTTTAATTCTATGTATATCTTTACAGGTAAAGTGTGTTTCTTGTAGACAATATATAGTTGGTTCTTGGTTTTTGATTCAATCTGCAAGTCTCTGTCTTTAATTGGAGAATTAAGACCATTTAAATTAAGTCTAATTCCTGTCATTTTGTTGTTTTCGAGTATTTGGTTTTTTCCTGATTCTCATTCACTTACCTACTCTTCCAGTGTGATTTGGTCAGATGGTTGTGATTATCTTCTTCCTCTGTGTTTAGGATTAGTTTGTAGCATTTTCTACAGTGTTTGGTTTTGGGTAATACATTTCCTTAATTTATACCTGTCTTGGAAGGTCCTTATTTTTCCTTCAATTTTGAAGTCATACAGAAAGTATTTAGTTTGACTTTTTCTTTTCTTTCAGATGTTGAAATACAGCATTCAAAGTCCTCTTGTCCTTAAAGTTTCTGTTGAGAAATCTGTGGTTATTCTCATAGGTTTGCAATTGTAAGTGATTTTTCATATCTAACAACTTGAAATACTCTTGTTCTGAATTTTTGGCAGTTTGGCTATGACATGTCACTGAGAGATTCTTTTCTTGGTATGTCTTGTGGGTTTCCAAATGCTTCCAATACCTGGATATCCATTTTATTCCCTAGATTTGGAGAAATTTCTGTCATAATGTCAGTGACTAGGCTTTCTTTTTTCTTTTCTTCAATGTTTTTATTGAATTAATTTATTAATTTTATCTTAATGTAATACATGGAGATGTTCATCAAAATTTTTTAAAGCACTTTTCTTGCTTATATGGAAAAATAAAACAATAATTCATAACAAAATAATTAGAGAATAACAATAGTTCATACACTGTGTATCATAATCTTAAGAGAATGGCCAAAATGTTACTGAGAATATAATTCATAAACAAATGACTCTGTCTTACAAAAAAGAAACAGATAATAGCACAAAACTTTCTTTTCAATGAACTAAGAGAAATTAACAGTATATATGGAACAAATGAGCATATAGATTGAAATATTTTTGAAACAAGGGAATAGAGGATTTAGAGAATAAACTGAACTTTTTCCTACTTCCTATTTCTCTATCTTTAATTTGGTCCTTATTGATATGTGTATACATTTTAAATTTCTCATATAAGAGAAACCATGTGATATTTAAGCTTGTGTGTCTGACTTACTTCACTTAAAATTATGTTCTCAAGTTACATCCATCTGCCTACAAATGTGTCAAGTTAATATTTATGTCAGAATGATATTGCATTGTGTGTAAATACCACATTTTCTTTATTCATCTATTGATGGACATATACACTATTTCCAAGATCTAGCTATTACAAATGATGCTGCTATAAACACAGGTATGCATGTATCCCTGTAACATGATGACATGAATTCTTCTGAGAAAATATTTAGAAGGGAGATAGCTGAGTCAAATGGAATTTCCGCTTTTAGTTTTTTGAGAAATCTCTACACTGATTTCCATAGGGGCTGTACTAGTTTACACCAACAGTGTAGACATGTTCCTTTACCCTACACCCTTGCCAGCATTTGTTATTATTAGATTTTTTTATTATAGCCATTCTTTCTGAGGTAAGGTGTCATCTCAGTGTAGTTTTAATTTACATTTCTCTTTAGCCAGTGATGTTGAACTTTGTTGTGTGCATTTATTGGCCATCTACTTCGCAGTACTTCTGTGAAGTGTCTATGCATTTTGGTTGCCTGTTTTTTGATTGGGTGTTTTATTTGGGGGAGTCTAATTTTCTTTAGTTCTTTAAATATTCTTTATGTTAGCCCTCAGACTGAGGAATAGCTGGCAAAAGAGTTTTTCCCATTCTGTCAATTGTCTCTTCTCGTTTTTGGTTTTCTCCTTTGATGCACACAGAAGCTGTTGAGTTTGCTCTGACCCCATTTGATGATTCTCGATATTATTTCTTGTGCCCCTGGCATTTCTGTGAATAGATTTTCTGTGCCATTAGCCTGTCTTTCCTCATCTCCCTCAGGGACAATAAGTCTTGCATTTGGTCTTTAAGAGTTGTCCAAGAACTCTTGAATATTTTGTTCATTGATTCTTATGCTTTTTGAAAATTGTCTAGTTTATTCACCTTGTCTTAAAAGTCCTTACATTCTTTCTTCTGATTCATTTTTTCTACTGCTGAAACTTTCAACTGAGTTTCTTATTTGACTAATTGAGGGTTTTATTTTCAGGATTCTCTTTGGTTGTGTTTGAGATCCTCTGTCTCTCGTTTATATCCTGCATTAGTTTTGTTAACTCATTCAGCTACTACTTGGTTTTTTCCCTTGGTTTATTAGCACATGTTTGCAGTGCACAATGATTTACATTCTCTGTGGAGAGTTGGTCCATGGACATAACAAATCTTAATTCCTTTCCCATCCCTTCCCCTTCCTCTCTCCTCCTCCCTCTGCCTCTTGGTTGCTTTCCCTTTTGCTAAAGATGTGTTCTGTATGTGCTCATTGATCATTTTAATAACTGATTCATCTAGCAGCTTATTTCTGTCCCCAGTGATCTAATTAATAATTCTGTCAGTCTTTAATATTCTTTGTCTGGAAAGTCATCCATTTCAATATCTAGGGGTTAGTTTGGGGGGAGTTATAAATTTTGGAGGTGTCTGGTCACCTTGTTTTCTCATGATTCTTGCATGTTCCTGCTGAGGTTTACAGATCATTAGGATCAACATCTCACCTGCTGTTTTGTGCAGGTCTTTTACTAAGTGGCATTCTCTTTGTAACTTTGTAACGTGGCGGAGGCTGTGAGTATGAATCCTTGTGAAAGCACCCACACAAGCTATCGAGCCCAGCACTCCTTTGTGAGGGAGAAAAGAGCTACCGGGAATATCCAGATTGAAAACACCACCCATACACCAGCAGGTAATTTAAGGGTTGTGTAAAACATTGTCTTCCAACTGAAAGTGTAGTTAAGGATACACATGGATGAAATGGCCTAACAACACATTTCTCGGATTGTGTTTCCATTGCGTGTCATATGACTGTATCAAAATTTAAATTAGGGAGAAGTTTGGCTTAAGTGGAGTCTGCTAGCTAACCAGAGTTCTTTTCCAGACCACTATTTGTTCAATGCTGGTTTGGGGGATCTTTCTGAAGCAAATCACATTGTCTGGTGTCTTGTTGGTGCTTGAGACGCTTTTTTAAATTATATGGAAAAATGTTTAAGTGCTTTTCAGTTTTGTTTTGGTTGAGTTCTACTGTATTTGAATATTATTGTAGGTTTTTTCCCCCTGCAATGGTCCTCCTTGAAAGGGTTTAAATGGTTGGAAGGGGGGGGTTGAAAAAAAAAGGAATTAAAAAAAAAACATTGTCTTCCATTTCACTAATCCAGGAGAAGAACTGGATAGTAATAATGTGGAAGAGCTAGAAAAAGATAGGCGTGAGTGAGAGTATTTCTACACAAGAGAATTAATGGGCTGGGAGAGGACAAGAGGGAAGGAAAAAAAGAAGAGAAGATATGTAAGTGGGAAGCGAGGGAAAGGATGGGGAGATGGAATGCAATTGATAAAGTAATAGAAACACAGTTAGAAAACCCTACAAAACAAGCCTTGGTGTGGGAAGACATGACCCAACAAGGTGGAATACTAAAGAAGCAAAAGCAGAAATCAAAGCCCAGATGAACGTGCACGGGCACACATGCACACACGCACACACACTTGCACGTGCACACACATGCACACACGCAAACAGGAAAGAAAAGGCCGAATATTCCTCCTTGTGGAAATATTCATAATGCAGACAATTGCCTCCCCAGGCATCTATGATGGGGCACTGCCTGATACAGGTGGGGATGTGACTTTTCTAATCTGGAGCCCTTTTTAGCCTCTGTCCTATAGAAGAAATCCTTTGGCGTCGTCAGCTCTGCCCCTCCGTGGTTACACACTACTGCTGGGGCTGGACAGTCAGTCAAAGGTGGGATGGGTCACAACCCAGATCTCAGTTCTTTTCTGTACCTGGAAAATGGCACAGCAAGAATGTGGGTGTCTGCGGGCCCCCGTGTGTGATTGCCCCCAGACAGGGCTCTTGGAGGCTCGGCTGCCCGAGGTCGGTGCTGCAGTCTTCACTCCGAATGCCTCTGTGCAGGGCCGAGGTGGAGGGGCACAGGAGGCTGTGCTGGGATGAGAAGGGGGAGCCCCAGCCTTCCCCAGGCCCTGCAGGGGTGCACCAGATCCGGACCCTCTCCCCACCAAACCTCCTCCTCACATGGCTGTTCTTTTCCTGTCACAACATTCAAACTTCTGCTGTTTTTTTGTTCGTTTTTGCATTTCCCTAGGCCCAGCTGGATGTGCTCCCTGCTGGTAGGGTTTCACATCCTCCCGAAATGTTGCTGTGACTTTCACAGCTGGAGTCTGCTCTGCCATCACCCAGCCACTGGGTCCCCCACCCTGGGATTTTAGCTCTTCTGTGTCACGGTCGCCATCCTTCTAGGCCTGAGCTGACTCTGGGGCAGTTCCCAGTCTCCCCCGGGAGAGAAGTGACCGTTACCCTAGAGATGCGGCTCTGCTCCCCATCCCACCTGCCCAGGCAGAGGAAGCTGGTTCTGTCTAAGTCCGGTCCCCTGCACAGGCCACAGAGGGGAGGCAAAGGGCGGCTCTGAGCTGCCTCCTCATCGGGACACCAAGGCCACGGGGAAAAGCTGGGAGCCCTCACTCCTGTCCCGTGCCCTGGGCTGTGCATGTGCTCAGCTCGGGCCGCGTGTGTCCAGCAGCAGGGCCAGCATTCCCGTGAGACTGCCTCCCCCGGCCCTTCCCACGGACTTGCCCTTCCTTCATTCATTGCCTGCATGCGTGGTTTCTCTTAACTTTTCGCGTCTCTCTCTAAATGTCAGTACCTCCGGGTTTTGCCTGACCCCTTGCTCTCCGCACTGTAGTGCAGGGATTTCCTGTTGTGTCCCCTCGCCTTGTGCAGCTGTGTCCCTGCTACTCCGGGTGGACGGCCTGGAGCAGCTTGAATGCCGCCTGCCTCTGGGCCACCACGGGGCCTTTCCTGGGATTGCATTTAAAGACCTTGGCCCAGCCTCTCAATCTGCTGAGCCGACTCTGAATGTGCACCCAACCCAGCCCGAGTGTCCAAGACGGAGAAGCACTCTGGGATTTGTGCATGGGTCATCCAGGTTGGCCACGCAAGGACGCAATGTGATGGTGATCGTGTGATTCTGCACACACAGAAACCAAGCACAAGGATGTTACACAACTCCCCAAGGTTACACAAGGTCACACTGCTGCCTGCATGGTGGCAGCTGTCTGCAGCAGTGCCACGACTTACCTCATGGCTCCTCGGCGTGGCTCTGCTGCTCCCTCTGAAAGTCTAGCCATTTCCAAGCGAGCCCTCATCACATACTCCATTGGGAGTGGCAGCAGATCTTTCAACACCACACAACAGGAAGCTGATTGCAACCCTTAATGCGGTGTTTTAATCCCCATACCTGGGATTTAGGAGAACAGCCCAGCTTTCTTGGGCTCCTTTTACTGGCCCAGCTGCAGCTCCATGTGCTAAGTGAATTTGGGTTAGATTGTTCTTGTGTGAACACTGAGTGCTAAAAGCAGTGTAATTGGAAGTTTGAGTTAATTACTAAGACTTGAAAATTTTTAGAAATGAATACTGGGGGAAATGTGTTCTTTAAAAAAAAAAAGACTGTTATGTTTCTTGTTAGTTGGCTTTAACTTACAGAATTCCTGATCAGCACTAAGAAATAATTTCTGGGTCACAGTGTAGCTTGGTTTACAAATAGAATTGTAATAAAAGACTCACAAGAGCTAAAATAGTCTGGGTTAATTCACTCTGCTCATGTATAAGTCATAAATGAGGAAAGTGTTCAGATTCTCACAGGCAACCTCATATCACATTTTTCATGGCAGGATTATGCACTGGGGGAGTTATAATATTTTATACATCCTACCTTTCCTCCCCAGTCAGGCTAATGATAGCAGAATTTAAAAACGAAACTCCCTTTTATTTTACAGAAGAAAAAGTCAACCCCAAGAAGCCAAGTGCCTGGCGGAGCCACGCTGCTCCTCAGCAGCCGAGAGAGTTTGCATAGGAAGGCACAACGCTCCTGCACTCACTCATGTCTGGACGCTCGCAGTGGCCCCGGGCCAGCTTGGTGAAGGGCTGTGGTCCCCGCCCCCACTGGCCCCGGAACCGGATCCACGGGCAGGGTCCGCACGTGTGGAGGGACTTCTGTCCGCAGACTGGCGTGTGCCCCAGCCTCTGATGAGATGAGCTGGTCACCTGGTCACCGTGGGTGAACAGATTCCAAACCCACAGGCGGGTGTGCTGCGGAACAAATCAAACTACACGTTTTATTTGCTTATGCTGAATATATACTGAGTCCGCCAAGAAAATGTGTGCACACTGCAGCAGCTCGCTGTACTGGACCTGTGTGGAAGCTCATGGCCACCACTTGGAGCACCTCTTGTCACTGTAGAGGTCAAGGGGACCAAAGGGAGCTCGTATTAGTATTATGATGTCTCGATCAATTTAGTATTAAAATATGTATGCAAGCTTTTCTTTTCCCGATGTACACATTTTTCTGGCAGACTGTGTGCATACAGTAGGTACCTGTTTGCAGTGCATAAGAATTATATTCCTTGTGGGGAGTTGGTGCATGGACATCACACATCTCGGTTCATTTTTCATGCCCTGCTCCCTTTCGCTCCCTCCACCTCAATCCCCTTCCCATTTGCAAAACATCTATCTCCTATTATTTTTCAGTTTGCTTTTTATTTATATTTTGGCCTTGTCATATAAGAGAAACCATGACATTTTTAAGCTTGTGTGTCTGATTTATTTCACTTAACGTTATGTCCCACGGTGGATCCATTTTTCTATAAGTGCCTCAAGTTCATCCATCTATGGCAGAGTAGTACTCCACTGTATATAAATACCATATTTTCTTTATCCATTCTTGTGTTGATGGCCATATAAGCCACTTCCAAGATTTAGCTGTTTAAGTTGTGCTACTGTAAACATGAGTGTGCATGGATCACTGTAATATGATAGCTTTAACTCTTATGCGAAGACACCTCGAAGGGGAATAGGTGTATAAAATGGAATTTCTACTTTTCGTTTGTTGAGGACTCTTCATTCTAATTTCCATGATGGTTGTAAACAAGGGGATCAGAAGATGAATAGAGGGAGATGGGGAGGGAAAGGGTATGAAAAAAAGAATTAAGCTGTATTATGTACACGCACCAACTGCTCAGGAGGAAATTAATCATTATGTGCTGCCAATGTGTACCAATAAAGAATACGATATGTAAAAATTTTAAAAGCTCAATATCAATTTTAATAAGTGATTATTTTTTAAAAACTAAGATTTTATATATGTAATTAGACTTACTACAGTGGCAAATGCTTTTTGAAATTACGAAAACATTTCTATTACCACTGAATTTCCTGAATTTTATCTCAGACTGGATGCACTAAATTATGTACTACAGGTGGCATTGTTAAAAATGTTTCACTTTCTGAAAAAAATTATCCTGAAACAAATCATGCTATTGCATTTCAATCCTATCCCTGGACCTTAAATACCTCTAAGATGAATGAAAGCTTTTATGGGTTACTCTCTCAAGTGAATAATTCTATTCTCCATTTTATATCAAACAAAAATGAGTGCAACTTCACATACCACGTGCTAGAGAGAGAAGAGCTCAGATTAGATTACCAGTCTCTAGCCTCCTGCAGGAAAACGAGCAAAGTGAAAATGAAATAGAGCACACCACAGTCACTAAAGACTGGCTGCCGAGGTACTTGGAAGGATGTAAATCCGTTTTTAAAAAACCAGGAAAATAGCTTCATATCATAAGTAAATTGCCTAAAATTACAGCACTAAATATGAAGATACGTGATTCTTAAAAAAATGATTCCGATATTTCCATTGGATCCCACCAATAGCTGTTCTATAACAGTCCACTGAGGCCAGCAAACTATAGACATATCCAACAGCCAGAAAATGAAACTTATTTATGAAGGAAAAGCCAATATTTTATAGCAAAATAAATCCCAGAAGTACATACATCCGACATGTAGTGCGATACATACTTGAGTAGAGACGGTGGAGGCCTGGGCAATTACATGGCATTGCAGTATTTCGCTACATTGTTCAACGTGAATATCCATGCATTCTGATGTCCATCTGGATTGCGCTGATTTCAGAACGCAAGATCTCTGCAATGGGACTTTTCTGTCCTTGGTTTAATGAAAAGTATTTCTAACCAGAAGTGACAGTCACTGCACAAACACAGATTACTACTTGGTGTGGTTTTCTCATTCAGTGGTTCTCAACCAGGGAATTTTTGCTCCACCCAGCCCCGAGTTCAGGTGCAGTGTCCCAGGGCTGGCTGCAGTGTCTGTAGATGTGTCCTCTCCCAGCTCTGGGTCTCGAGCTCCTGGTATCTGCTGGTAGGGGCAGGAGTGCTGCTCAGCAACGCACAGATACGAGACAGTCCAGAGCAAAGAGTGGTCAACCTCGAAACATCAGACCCACGGCTGACAGAACCTGACCTAACTGGGTAGCAAACAGACTAACGCTATATGAATCTTCTACATTCTTAAAATACATGCTATTCTCTTCTTAGTTAATAGATTAGGACTTACTTAAGACACCATGCTAATACTCGTAGAAAAGTAGACAAAACAGGTTTCAGGGGAGAAGAATTTAGAGCAGGATGTGATAGGGGAATAAAATTGTACGCGTTCACATCCAGTTTTCTGACTCATATAACCTAACCACTGCAGTTCACTGGGGAGAATGTATCCTCCCACTAAAGTAATTGCTGTAGAGCTAATTCAGTCCAGCAGAATAGAAAGACACTTGCTCACAGCCTTAGCTTTCCGTGAGGTATAGCCAACCCCAGAGAGGAGCTTCCCAGGAAATCTCGAGATCAATACTTAGCTTTTCTTCTTCTCAACCAAACCTGAAGAGTAGGGATATTCTAAAAGGTGGGGCTTCTCAAAAATACCTGGTTTTCGATCGCACCCATAGAGCCTTCAGCATGCTCCTCTATGGGGCTCATCTGCTTCCAAGTCAACTGTCGAACTCGTGGATGGGATATGTTTACAAAGTGCAGTTGAGATTGATTGATGAGGCGGCCCGAATGCCTGTGTTGTGAATGCACTGGGTAGGATGGGATAACTCATTGATAACATCATATCTGACCCATCCCCCAAAGAAGCACTGACCGAAAAATTGAAAATAAACTTGAAAAATATAGATGCTGCATTTTTTCTTTAACTAGAGTGAAATTAGATATTGATGTACTACCTCCTCCATCCACAAGCATGGAATTCCTGGTTAAAATATTCACTTGTCCTATTTCAAGTCTATAATAGCTATTTTCAAAAAAGCAACAAACACAAATCTTCACATAATAAGTATATTAGGTACTTAATCTATGTAAGATTACTAACATTGGTGCTCCTAACTAAATCCACACCAAACCTCAGGCTTGTCTATACTCAAATCTTCACTCCTCCCTCTCCCCAGACATTCAGGGAAACAAGAGCCAAGCTCAGATACTTCTGGCTCAAACATTTACCAACTTTTGGGAAAGGCTTCCCTTTTCAGGTAGAGCTTAAGGAAACTCACAGACATTTCCTAATAAAAAACAAACACAAAATCTTCAAATGCAAGATCTAAGTCAGCCCAGAGAAGAGAGTGTTTTAAACCTGGGTCTGTGAGAAAAATGACACCGAAGATCAAAGTCTGAGAGACCTGAACTCTTCACATATTTTGTAGATATGGACAAGTTGATTCTAGAATTCGTACCAATAAAGATGTGAATGAACCGCAGAGGCCAAAATGGTGAATAAGGGAGAAAATGGACACTTTCCACTATTCAATTTTAACTCATACCGTAAAGCTGCAGTAGTCAAGGCAGTGATATTGCAGAAGGAACAGACATGATCAGCGAAACAAAGGAGAGATCCAGGCAGCTCCACAGAGGAAGGATAATCTTTTCAAAAACTGTCAATGCAGGAATTATAAGGCCATATACAGACAAAATAAGCCTTACACTTTATACCAGAACAATTAACTCAAAATGATGGAATTAATTTAAAAGGTGAAACATTTTTTTAAGAATATACACAGATAAAATTTATGCTTTGTGTTAGGTAAAGTTAGTCTTTACAAGGTGTCATCAAAAATCTGAGGCTTCTGCTCTATGCCATCCAAAGAGGCAGCTTGTAAAAACATGGTGCGGTGTTTTCATCCACTTTATTCACCAGATCTGGCACTGTGTGGCTTTAGGTGGCCTCCAGAGTCTAAATGATGACAAAAGGAAGCATTTTGAATCAGTCAGGAGACTGAGACAGCCCAGCTAAAGACACTCAGGAAAGAGGGCTTTCAGAGCTGCTTCAGAAAGCGGTAAGAATGGTGGGCTGAGTGCGTTCAGAATGAAGGAAAGAAGTTTGAAAGGGATCCATGGCCATGTGTCATTTACCGTGATGACGTTGAAAAAATATCGACATTTACTGTATTTTTCAAAATCACCTCATGTAAGAGAGAGCTCAGGAGGCTTCGCTGATGGCAGCATCTGGCTAAAACATGTCATCCCCCCACCTCCCTGTGACATCCTCGGCTTATCCTACGTGAAGAATGGACTTCAGGCAGCCTTGGACTTTGTCAAGGGACGTAATTTATCACTACAGCTTCACGATCTATCCTTACATTTTGTCAGTTTTACAGATACGAGGCAGCCACACATATTCAATGTGCCCCAAATATAAAGTTGTCCGATAAATGCACCAATTCTCACTTGTTATGGATGCCGAATGGCCATGTGTATTGGGCATCACAGTTGTTGCTTTTTGTGGTGCTGAGAACCGAACCCAGAGCCCTGTGCATGCTCAACATGTGCTCTATCGCGGCGCTCCTGCCCCAGCCCTCCCTACCAGTTCTACAGTCCCATCTGGGTGGGGCCCCACCAATGTGTTCACCTTGTTCAAATCCCCCTGGTACACTGCGTGCCTTTTCCTATCCATCAGTGTTATTCTTCACACAGAGAAGAAAAACTGTCGCTTTGCGGAGAACACTGCAAGAAGGCCTTGTTTTCTTAAGTGCTCCTGCATTATTTGCCTTCTTAATCCTATCTATAAGTTGTTTGACATTTTCTTAATTATGTACAAAGAATTCAGACTTCAAGCCTTTCAGAGTTTTGCTATAATGCTGGTAATAAGATGAGTTCAGTACATGAACTGAGGTTTATCTGAGAGCCAGGCCTCTGATCTAAATAACTCACCAGATGTAGCTGGCCAGCGTAGGAAAACAACGTAATGACTCTGCGGTTTTATCACAGATATTTGGTCTACGTGTGTAAAAGGCTGTTGCGATGTCATCGCTGCTCTTGTTTTGTCTTTTGCTGGTTTTTTCAAGCATAAATGCATTTCATCTTCTCCCATTCCTGCACAGTATCACCCTTGTTGTCCTCACGGAGAAACTAAGGGAAAGAAAGGTTGAGGCAGGGTCAAATACTTGGGACATGAACCAACTGGGACCTGACATGAGGCTAGCCCCTCACCACCCGGACTCCTCTAGGAAAGAGCAACACCAAGACAGCACACAGCGCAATGTATTCACTGTTGTATAAATATCTTACCCATTTTCTACAAATATTTCTAGACACAGAAGTCAATTTGAGTCAGAATTACGTAGTTCTGATGCCTTGGCATGCTCTGCATTTTCCTCTGGAAACAAGAGGAAGGGAGTCTCATAGCCATTCCAACAACCGCATACTCATGGGTCACAGACTTGCCTGAGTGACCCT